ACCCGATCTTTGAGTGAACCTAAAACCTCGGATATGGCAGGGTAGTTTTCGTGAAAACTCTAAAATTTGAAGAAAACAAATGAGCAAAATATCAAATGATGTCTTTTCCGAGATCAATACATTTTGTGTAAAAAGTTGTGAGGGACCGCTCATTCAGGTATCTTTCGCACTAACCGTTATCTATACCCTTCTGACAGTTTAAGATTTGGGAGGTTGTTTTTGAGAGAAAAAAAATTTAAAAAAAAATCAAAAATTCGACTATTTCGAGGGTCATAATTTTATGTCAACCACAAATTTGTGTGTGGCCGCTTACGCAAGCCAGATTGTTTTTTTCCGTTCAATTCTGAGATTTTTTTGAAAGCTACAGACAGTGGGGTAAAAGATAAAGTGACTAGGGGAGTATGCTGGCACAAAAGGGAGTATGCAGCCTTCCCGTTTTTCGATTTTTTTTCGAAACTCAGTATGTGTTTGAGAAAACTGGAGTTCCAACATAATAAAAGCAAAACCTTATTTGTTTAAATCAAATTAAAACACTATAACTTTGAAAACATCGATGGATTTTTGAAAAAAAGTTAAGCTGAAACGTTTTTGCAACTTTGCGCATTGTCAGGAACCTTACAAAAAAAAATTAACTTGAATGACGACGAACAAAACAATTTTCAAATATTACTTAACTTTTTTCTACATATTTTTTGATCCTTATTCATCATGTTTAAAACTGAATCAACCAAATTTGACCTCTAAAACTGATCATTATGTCTAAAACTAATTTTTAACCTCTGAAACTTGAAAGTTTTTGATTAATTTGTCTGGAGTTTTCCGAGTCTTTGTTTTGATTTAGACATGTACGTTTTGAAAAAAAACTAAAACTACAGGAGATTTATTTTGTAGTTCAACTTTTTGCTTCTAAATTCGTCGCGTGTGTTCAAGCCTGGCTTCTTTTTCCTAATATATTTTGACTCCAGTGTTAACAGTTTGTTCGACCTATCTATAATTTCCCAACGAACATCTGCGGCTTAAAAAAGAAAAAAAACGTTTTTGCTAGTCTCTGAATTGACAATGTTTTTACAGTAAGTTGTTTTAAATGACGATAAAACCTGGTTGACAAAAGTTTATTTCTAAAATTTTACTTAAATTTTGATTCAAAACCATCATGTTAAACAAGTAGTGGTCAGGTTAAATTTTGTTATAAACAAAACAATTTATAGAAAAGAAAGTTACACCATACATTCGTTTGCGTATAAGCTGGATAAGATTACAAAAACTTTTGGCTTGATACCATCATCTTAGAAAATTAGCCAATCACAGTTGACCTTCAAATTTATTCAATTCGAATGAAAAAATCTTTATCCTCTATAAGTAATTTCAGAAGTTTTTACAATTGGTCTTTTAGGGCATTTGCGGAGGTTTTTTTTTCTATTTCGGTGCAAAAAAAACAGAATTTAAAACGCTTAATTTGTCCTCAAATCAAAACGGTTAAAATTGATGTAGAACATTTGCAGCAAAGCCTGATTATTGCCTCTGAGTAACCGAAGACAGCAAATAATCAGCTGTTCCCAATGCTTTAGAATTGTCGTTTTTAGTCGTAAAATCATTGAAAAACAATATTTGTGAAATTTAGTGGCTAAAGATATTCGGTTTGCTGGGCCGAGATGCTCGACTAATGTTTCGACTATGAAAGCCCAGCAGGTGCAGTTTTTCCATTGCATGCGCGCGGCCGAAAAGAATATTGAAGTCCAGTTTTGGCCGAGAAAATTGATACATAGGTCAAGCACAAACAAAACATACCCAATTTGGGTCAGAAAAGCCAAAACATAGGCCAATATACTAAGAACACGTAAATAAAAATTGAAAAATGCTATCGGTTGAACCTCAAATTCCCTTACAAATGATACTGGGGGCTAGTGACGAGAATTTTGATCCTAATTTGTGCATTTAGATCCAAATATTCAAAGGTTCTGCAAGATTTCAGTTGCGTTTTATATGCTTTTCTGAGTTTTGTAGCTAAGCTATAATTTTATATTTTCTTCACTGCATAGAAATATGTGTTTCATACCATTCTCTAACATGGAAGAAAAGCTAGAGAAGCAAAATTCATGCTAGTCTTTTGATTGTTTGTAGTATAAGAATAATGGTATAGAAGTTTTTGACCAGTAGTGTTTTTGCTCAACCTTGCTTCTTTCTATCCTGATCTGTAATTTTGAAAAAAATTTTGCCCGACTTTATGTAGACGAGAGGCATTATCACAAAAAAGTAACCACTTAAGAGTTTTTGTTCCAAACATTGCGCAATTTATACTCATATATTTTAAAGCAGTTTTATTTAATATTAAAGCCATAGATGGTTTTGCTACAGAAATAAAATAAAAACACTGAAGCAACTAGTATAAATCAAATGATCTAATTTAGTAATGGAAAATCATCTGCAGATCAAACTGCAAAAATATTATTTTAAAAATAGCGCACTCAGTTGTGTGTTTTTTTTGCAGCTGAGTAATTCTTTTTTCAGTTTTGTCATTTTCAACTTAGACTATTAAAATTAACAAACATTTTGAAACTAAGGACTTTTTTCTGTGAATTTGTTGGCTGTAAAGGTTTTTCTTTTGATTATATTCAGTGAATCAACCGAACAATCTCTCCTTTAGATAGACAATCTCTCCTCTTTAACAACCCAATTTTTAAGATGGACTGCAACTGCTGTTTGCAATTTTTGCAGTTGTTCGTAACCTCTGTGAAAGCTGTATTGTTTATTGAATCAATTTATAGAGTCACTGAAAGTTTGTCAAAGAACAAGCTGTATTTTCTTCCCTAAATTGATATGAGAAGAGCGAGATTGTACGGTTAAGTCTTATCTTTTACCTAACTTAAAAATAAAATTAAATAGAAAAAAAAACGATATGAACTTTCAATTGGTCTAAGAATTAGAATAAGGATAATCAGAAAATATTTTGGCCAAAATAAAAAAACACGATAAATCTTACTATTAGTGATAACAATTCCGCCCTATTTTTTAGCACGGGATAATAGTGAACCTTTGCCAGCTGCACTAAGCAATAACTTTAGAGCAAGTTGTTCTGTGAGCATTAGACTTTCATTTGTCGCTAAACTTTTATGATTCTTTATTTAATTTGAAGCGGCCGATAACTGATGCTTTTCGATACAGTTTTGTCAACTCGCACTGACAAAAGTGGATTCAATTCAATTACAGTGTCAAAAACAAGCCCTGAAAGTTCCGACTGCCTTTTAACGTTTATGGAGCAGTAATAACATAAACAACATCAAAAAATTAAATGAAATAAAATAAAACGAATTTTTTTTCTAAAATTTGAAAATGTTTCTATGAAAATCAACCCCCCACACGCCATACAAAATACAAAACAACAGATTTCGTTCCTTGTAACAAATCAGTTATGGCAAATAAGCTTCTTTCAACCAATTTGGAACGATTTCTAAGACGGATTAATTCTCCGCTTACGCGTTAATAGCGCGAATTTAATCGCGCGTTAATTGTTCCAAATTGGTCAAAGTGGTCAAAATGACAATCTTTAAACCCTCATAACTTTACGAAAAATAATCACAGGTAAATATCTTTTCAAACTTAAGTTCAGGACAACAATAGTTTTCGAATGATATAAAACAATTCCGTCAAAAATGGCTAATTAAAAAGTCGAAATTTGTCTGAAGAAAAAAAACCACCCCGAGCACAAATATTCCGTTACTTTCGTATCGAAAGTCGGAACAATAACTATGATAAATTTATATGGATTTCGATCAACTCAAAAACAAATTAAGATGATCTTACTCCGACCCTCAACACATCTATTTGAACAAATTCCAAATCGGATCCACTAATTTGCTCCACCAGTTTGTTCCGACTTTCAAAGAAAGCGGAATAGTATGTCAACTTTTTATGCGAGACGAATTATCCCGCACAACAAAATCGTTTCAAATTGAATTGAGCTAACTAATCGGTTGTTTTAATTTCGTAACTTGAAGTTTCACACTTGATTTTAGATATTGTCCATAATTGATAGTTTTCAATATTTTATTTTCCCAAATTAATCGATTAATGAATTGAGGGGCAGTTGGGACATTCAGGGCTTTGTCTTAATGTACGAGCAGAGCAGTCTTGTAAGCTTCGCATGGACTTGTTTTAGATATAAGCCGTTGTTATCTGTCTGAGCTTATCTTCTTGTTGATTTTTTGACTTTCAATTAGGAGATTGAATTAAAAAAAAGTATGCCGTTTTGATGTTTTTTGTCTTGCTTGACTTGAAAACAATCTGCAATCTGTAACAAAGTGCGCATTTTTTGCAGAGAAATCAATTGTTCCCAATTAATTGTTCAGTTTTCATTCGCTTCATAAAATGGCGCTAAAAGTGTTGATCATACATTCAAACTCAAAAAAAAATAACTTGCATTTACTTATTGTTAGAGTTAAAATTTATACTGCAAATACTATAACAAAACCCCTGAAACAAGTAGTTTTGGGTAAACAACTTTCCTCAAGTGTCAGTAGGTTACTGTAACAATGACCTAAAGTTTTCGTGAGAAAAAACTTGCTTAAAATTTGGAGCAAAAGCAACAATTAAATGAACATGAAAGGCTGTGTAAGGGGCTTCTCTTGATGTAACTTGCTCATCAATTAACTGTATAGTTTAAACTTAATTTTTGATAAACTAGAAAAAACACAAAATGTCTTTTTTGGATTAAAAGTTCGAAAACAAATGGCACCAAACTAATTCTGGTGAAATTCGAAGCAACTTTTGTATAATTCATTGTCTGTCTTATCTTTATCCAATTTGAGAAAAACGCGTTTGATTTTTTCATTTTTCTTTGTTGGTTTCGGTTAATTAAATCAGCACTGTATCAATTGTTTGAGTAAATTCGTTGTTTTCTGATTGAGTTTTTCATTGGTGGCTCAAGTTTACAAATTGCCTTACTTATTTTACCTATGCTCAAGTTCTAGTTTTGTAAAATTACAATTTTGTATAGATTTTTTCATACGCTGTGTCTAAATAGCTTGACGTCTGTTTTCTTGTTAGCCAACATTCAATCATCGAAATACATCTTATTCCATTCCATCTAGAACCAATAAAAATTTTCCTAGCGATGAATTTTGGGTATGATAATATAAATTGATCGAAATCATAGCAGCGCGTAAACATTTTTTCAACGTTTTTTTAGCGGATTTAAGAAATATAAAGGAGCCTTGAAAAAGTGCGAGCTGCTTTAACTTCGTAATATTCGAAATGCATATGAATTTTTTTGCAACTCTTCGTTATTTTTGTTAAGGAAGTTTTTGCAAATTTACACGGCGGTAGACTGCATTTTATAGAATGGACAATTTTTTGTTTGCTCTCGAAATTCGTCTCTGAACTTGGGTGACATAATTGCGTATATGATTGGGTTCATTGCATAGGGCAGGTGATGCGCAACTGTAAACAACGAATTCATCGAATTATTATCGCTCTGGAAAAATGTCGTCGGCAGAGCATCGAACAGTCTACCAGTAAGCAGAACAAAGTTCCCGGAGTTTCCGACGAGAAACACAAGAGCAATCATGCAAAACATTAATGCCACTTTTTTCTGTTTCTGCTGAGTATTCTTTCGCTTACGTGCACGCTCAACCGCCAAATAGTCAACTTGCATGTTAGAACTCGCGCAGCTGACATCTTGGTCCGAAGCGCTCAATAATTGGTTAAAGACGACCGAGTTCTTCGGCCGAGGAGTCAGTAAAGCCCGAGGGGAGTTTTGAGCTCCCCCGAAATGCTCTTCGGTAACGAGAGATTCTCGTTTATTGGCGTATATGCGACCCAAACTACTTCGGTGTTCGGCTAATTCGATTGACTTTTCGGTCTCGTCTCCCACTTGGCCCCCAGAAAGCTGCGATTCGTTTTGATGGTGAGTGATTGTGATTGTGGTAGCGTCAACTGCTGGGTTTGCCGACTTGGTACGTTTGCTCGGGGCTTTCTTTGGATAATCGGGTAGTGATTTTCGACCTGAAATTAGCTTAACTAACAACGTTATAAAAAATAATCTTAGGACGTCTCATATTTTTCTGAGGTCCAACAAGCAAACTAAAATGCGACCATTATCGAATTGCATAATCTTTTTTTTGGAAAACTTCAACTCAAGTAATAGTTGATGATGAAAAACAGCATTAAATTACCAGAAAAAAAATTGCTTTAGTACTGAGCGTTGTATAGGAAATAATCATTTTGAAAGTTCACCTTTTATTCTGTTTTTTGTTATTTAAGTAAAGAGTCTGATTTTTGTCTTTTGACTGACTTATTTATAGCATGTTTGTGAAGAGTTGCTCAAGCCGCCGACTTAACTCTAAATTGGTTTGAAAAATTGGTTTGTTTCCGGAATTAAGATTGAAATTTCAACACCTCAAATCCAAAGTGCCTCCCTCGTATTCGGTTGTCAGATTTTTGTTCGCTCTGACAGTTTCCTTCCTTGTAAAATAAATGGATTTCTTGTTACTTCTAGCCAATATTTGTGTTAGGTTTTTTTTATCATTATTTCTTGAGCATATTTAATCACGCCGTGGTTCGGAAAAATGCTTTCTTTGATAAACCTTATCTTTCTGTTATAAAAAAAATCGGGCTTTAAGTTGCATTAGTTCAAAAATTGAAGGAGAATTAGACTTTGTTTTTGATCAAACAACGCTTCTTTTGTATAATTCTGTGCTCAAAAAGCTTTTTCTTGTGCAGTAAATAGAAAAGATAATTCAATTTATCTTTGAATTTTCAAAAATGTCGAAAATATAGGAGGATGATTTGTTATGCAGACATATTGTTCAAAGTCTGATCAAAAAGGCACCCTAAAATTTTATTTAATTCAGACTTAGCATCCAAAGTCTGAGAAAAAAACGAAAACGCTTTATAAGTTTCAAATATTATCATACATGTAAGTTATAAATTAGCCAGACCATCGAAAAATGTTGCTCCTTTTTAGTAGTATTTGATCGTACCGTACCTTTGATCACTTTGAGTGAGTCTTTTTTCACTCCGCTGTGTCTCTTATTGGTCTTTGATGAACATAGAGATGAGCCTCTTTTGACCCCGGACGCGAATGGTGACGATGACGTTGGTTGAGGAAGCGGGTGGCTACTGCACGTCGCGTCGTCTCCAAGTTTCGTCTCTTGGTTGAAAACTGAAGTCTAAAATTTTAAATGACAGAAAAATTAATGCGGAGAAAAGTCAGTGTTTGAAAAAGCTCTTCATAATTTCCTGAAATGACAACGTAATTTTGTATAAGAAAAGGTATTCCTATGCGACCTTCTACTGACTCAAAATTACTACAGATAAGAAGTGAAATGTAGCTCTATCCAATATAAATTTCGGTCAACCTAAAGCAACAGAAAGCAACGACTCTTCAAAACATTTAGCCCAATTTCAGTTGCAAGGTTGCCATTTTTGATAAAAGTTTTGATGCTTAGTTTAGGTTTCAATTTTATCGACAACAATTTGGTATGTCTCGCCCGTTTGGACCTAAATTACGTCAATTTAAACAGGGAGAGCCCATTTTTGTCGAAATCTCACAGAACAAACCGACCACAATGATTTAATGAGAAAAATCATAATTTTATTTACAAAACATCAAAAAAGAATTTCCAATTTTTTGATTTGGATAAAAAACTGCAAGAATGAGAGATAATAATTGCTATAATAATGGTTAAAACGGAAGCCATAAATAGCGTTAAAATTTACGCGTTGAGTTAAGCCTCTTCCTATTGGCAAGAAAACCGAAAATAGTTTGACCAGTTTTTCTCTACACTGAGAAAACTATTTTAATTTTTTGTGGTACGAATCACAGCTAAAAGGGTTTTAACGTGATATTGCAGTGGATTTCCAAGCTGCAAGTTTTCTTGCAGCTCCCTAAAATTGGGCGGAAAAAACAAACCCTACGCGATATTTCCTTCTCAACCGCTTTTGAGGGGTGGTCAGAGCAAAAATTAAAAAAAAATGTTTCGAGAAAAACTGAACTAACTGATTGCTGTCTGATAGGTGTGCATACAGTGGCTGTGTTCTCCTGCAGTTGGGCTCTGAACTCATCCTGCTTCACAATCCGACGGAAGATCATCGTGTACCTTCAGAAAACAGTTCAAACCACTCATATAAATGAAAGGCGGCTTTTCTTGCTGATTAGCTTGCAAGTATTTTTAATGATCTGTTTCAATAGTTGTTGATGCCGGTTTTCACTTGACGGTGGCGGGGTACTTTTCTTAAAGATCATTTCAGGATCATTAAAAGGAAGTACCCAGCTACCGTCAAATTAGTGAATATCAATTGAACAAGACCATTAAAAAATCAAGAACCATTGAATCAGACTATAAAAAAATTTCGAATTCTAATCAAAACAAAAACGAAAAGCGAAAAGCGGCTTCGTGTATACCGCGTTTAGTAGTTAATGTCAATTTATTGGCAAAGACTTTTCGGCTAATTTTTGTCGGCTTTTTTTTCTGCCGATTTCCAAACATAAAACTCGGGTCGAAAAACTGAAAAAGATTGCTCGTATCAGGGCGAAGCCTCGAATGTCCTTTGAAATCTATGTAGTAGTATCCGCTTTATAAAAAACTGATGTAACTTCCCAAAAAAAAATTTTTCAGTTTTTTTTTCAAAAATCATCACCCACCAGCTATGTATAGTACAAGTCATACCTTAAGCATACAGCTAAAAATAAAGTGAACCAAAAAGCATGCCTCAACCCAATTTGGAACGATTTTTAGGAGGGACGTGTTAATAGCACAAAATATATTTCGCGTTGTTTATTTCAAATTGGCCAATAACTTTATTGTTAAGCCCCATAACTTTGCAAAAAATGATAACAGGCGAAATATTCTTTTTAAATTTGAGCTCCGGACAGCAAAATTTTTTGGCTGATATAGAAAAATTCTGTCAATAATGGCTTGGTAAAAAATTGTAATTTGAGTGGAGAAAAAAAAACAACCTGAGCACAAATGTTTCGTCACTTTCTTCAAAAGTCGGAACAAAAACATAAAATGCTCTAGTGTTTGACCAATTGAATTGATCATGGTCATTGATATTGTCTACAATCAACAGTTTGGCCTTAACTATCCAAGGAGGAAAAAATTAATCTGCCACAGTTTTATTGAACTGACCGACCCCATTGCAATTGCAGTTTCTAAGGCAAAATCCAACAAATTTTGAACAAAGGTCGTGTGGTTGTGCGGCTGACTGAACAAGCGGCTGACTGATTAAAGAATAAAGCTCTTAAATCTCCAAAAAATAAAATTTAGGTTTTGTTTTGGACACTGTCAATGTGTTTTGTGATATACAGCTTGGTTACAGCTCAAAGCAGGTTTGCTAAGGATTTTTATGAAATCTCAATTGATATTGTATTAAGGTTTTTTAAACTAATTTGCAGTCAAGAAAAATACTAAGTTCTGAAGTTTTCGCCCATCTCTAGTGATTGTTACATTAAAAAATGACTATTTATTCAAAAAACGCATTTGAAAGAGCAAAAACTTTTCACAAAAATGACAATAAAACATTCCACGCTACTTCGAGACTGAAAAACTATTTTGAGTAATTATCAATTCTGCTGCGATTTTCAAAGTATGTTAGTTTATAGATTTTTCTCGTAGCCATTCTTAAAAAGTGGGAAAAAATTGTGGCATATGATTCGGTTTCTCATGTATTTTTATTTAAAAAATTGTCAATATTCGAGTACTATGCTAGAGTAAAATAAAAAAAATCTACAAAAAATCAAAATTTTCAATTGAACAAATCTTTTCGAAAATTTATTTTTCTTAAAAGATTTATTGCAACATTACGAGCAAAAATTGTTCTTTTTGTGAATTGTAGGCGGATTTTGTTCTTCCTTTGTTCTTTCACATTTTTTGATCGTTCAGACAAAATTTTAACGTTTTAAAGACTTTTCTCTGGAATCCAGGAATATACAGACACAAAATTGTGCGCCTATGCAGTGCACAGTTTGGCCTCGTAATGAAAGGTTAAGAGAAAAGAAAATCATACTTGGTTACTGGTACCAGCAATAAGGTTCCATGGATGATAATCGGTTTTCATAGTAAAAAATTTTGCTATTAGAATCGATTTTAATTTTACTTTGGTACCACGCAAGTGATTATAATCCACAAAAAAGTTTTTTTTTCAAAAATTTTGATCCATTTTCAATCCATTTAAATGGATTGCTACGAAAAATAGTGCATTATAATCTGCATAAATTCTTTTCATTTTTTTTGCAATTTTTTCAGCATTTTACGCGTCAAACGCAGCCTACTCGATTTCTAGGTCTAGTCAAAATTTCTAATTTTTCTTATTTTTAACCCTCAAAATTTTTTCAAGGTCAGTCAAGCTATTCAGAGCTTTCAAAGTTCGTCTTAAAACTTATTTTAATCTTCTTACTAAGATGATTTTCCTTGAGCGTTAATCATTATGAACTTTGTTTTTTTCAATTGTTGTTTGAACTTTTTTTTGCCAAAAATGAGTGATGTTTTTCTTTTGCTGCCATTGGTTACTTTTGAAGAAGCTTAAACTAGTTTCTACCAATTTTTATAATCGGCTCTGTGAATTTTGTCGATTTTTTCTTAAGGTCTGCCAGTTTGATTTTCTGAGCTCTCCAAAAATACTAAAATGACCATCTTGTAAAAACGCTGAAAAAGGCTAAAAATGACACTTTGAGAGTTTTTTACATAAAAAATTGACTATGCCTCCCCAAATTTAGTTATTTTGGCGCCAAAGCGGCCAAAGCGGCCAAAGGGCAATTCCTGAGCCCCCCGCCCCTTTCGGCTATCGAGGTTTAACTATGCAAAAATCTGCTGAAACTTAAACTAAAATAAAAAGTTGCAGCCCCACCTAGTGTAGCAGCCCCCCCCCCCAACCCAGGCTCACTTTTGTGGATTTTTGAAGTTTCTCACATGATTGAAAGTGCAATCACAGCAGTCGGAAGCAGCACAAACGTCGCGTAGTCGGGGACAATAGCCACCCAGCCAATCACCTCCTCCCACCAGGTCAATCTAGCCCCTCCCCCGCCCGCTACTCTCTCTGCAGCTCCCTCTTCCCCTTCTCCTTCGGGATAGATTACGTCATCATGATTGTGCGCTTCTTCTTTCTCGATGCAGAAACAGACACTCATTCCACTAAGCGCGACGGAGACACATAACAGCAGTCTAGAAAAAAAATGAATATTGAGTATCGGTAAGATTGAGTGGTTAGGTCCCCCGACCTGGGAGACAAACTTCAGTGGTACGGATCTTACCATGATCCCTGTTTCATGTTTGAATGATTTATTTTGAACGGATCACGTAAACGACCATACCCAATAAATGGGCCGAGCTATGACCTTTCGCCCAACTATTTAAACTTGGGTTAAAATTGCTTAAACGCTGGGGGCGCGAAATATTCGATTCTGATTAGCTTTTAATTGCAGCAAAGGAAGAATATTGAAATGAATTTAACCCACATTTCAACGAAAACTATTCACCTGAACAATTATTGGACTATTTCAACCAAATGACTTCAAAACAATCCTTAAAAATTTTGTTGAATTAATATTTAAATTTAGAATTCAAATTGAACTTAGCCAACTGATGATTGGGTATTTCCCATCATTATTCTCAAAAATTAGCCCTCAGCGCAAATTAGAACCCATAATAGTAAAGCCATAGCGTGTGAGGATATAATTTTTTTTGTTACTAGGTTGTTAGGAGGGCGTGTTTCATTTGATGCAAAAACCAAGATGATTAGCACACAAAACAATAAGCTTAAGTAAACGATTCAATGTCTGCAGGGACGCTTATACTTGTGCGACAATGACCGTTTTTGACAAAAAGAGGGGCGGGAGATTAAAATAATGAAATTGAGATAGAACTTTTTCGTTCAAAAAAGCCGAAATAAAAACAAGCCGAAAGTTAGCAGAGTATATTAATCAGAAAAATTTAATGTAACCGAGTTGAGACAGATTTCATACGTGTGTATGCTTTTTGCAGACCAACTGTAGAACAAGAAAAAAATTTGTGGAGAATTTTACTCCCATTTTGTAGATATAACTACAAAATTGACACAACTCCTGATTCACGTGACTTTGTGATCATTATTGAGTAGTTTGCTAACAAGATAAACAACTAAAAGCTTGCATGATTTTAAGGTACCCGCGCAGACAAAAATGGATTTGGATCAATTTTATTATGAAAAAAGTATTGAAATTTTTTTGACAAATTTTATTGAGATTGATTTAGGTTAGTAAGAATAAGTTAGGATTTAAGTTAGGAAGAATAAATTAAAAAGGTTAAGATTAGTTTGGATCAGTTTTAATCGATTTAAACTGATCTTAAATCCCAGCTAAGATTATCGATCTATATAGATTTTCAATCAGTGCAAATCTTTTTTGTTTTAATCTCGAATTTTTTTGTGTTTTTAGGGGGAATAAAACGGATATAAATCGGTTTAAATCAATTTTTTTATTCGATATTTATCAGTTTTGAGTTTGGGCTGCATTGATTCATCGCCCATAGTTTTTCATTTTACATCCATAGCGCCTGGTAACACACTGAAAATTTCAACATTTTTTTTTGATTTTTTACCTTGGTTTTTGTTCAGAATCTGATTTTTAATGATGAGTTTCCTTGGTTTCATTGCATATTTTTGAGCCCAAAATCTGATATTTATATTGACATTTTTCTTGATTTGTTCCATAAGTTTTGCCCAATCTCTGATTCACATTGATAATTTTTCAAAATAGCTTTATTGCACGTTTTCGAGCTCAAAATCTGATTTATTTGGATCACTTTCTGGATTTTTGAAACGTCTGACAGTATTTTTTTTGAAAAATCAAGAATAAAGTATTTCAATTATTTTTTTATTAAATAGCATGTTTTTTTTGCCGTGTGAGCAAAAAAATTGGATTTTAGCGAGTCGAAAAACTTATCCATATAAATTTAAATAAACTTTGTAGAAACTTAAGTCGATACAAATTTTTCAAGAAAAATCGATTTAAATCTATTTAAACTCCATATAAATTCGAAAAATGTACAATGTTAATCGATTTGAATCGATTTAAATCGATTTAAAATCAATTCAAATAGATCCGAGACCATTTTTGTCAGTGCGGGTATAATGAACAGCCCAGTTGACTATGCTAGAAAAACTTCCCCTATTTATCCACTGTTTTTCGAAAACACAAAATCAATCATTGGCTGATTTTGTATCCTTTTTGTAATCTTAGAAAAACTTACGCATGAATTGAGAATTTTCGCATCATCGAAAAAACTGTTAGATTGCTAGTTCGTCGTTATTTGAGAACGACTTTTCTTATCACGTAAAAACAGAAAAAATGTAATGTTTGATCCCTGTTTAATTGACAAAACAGTTTTAGTTAAAAACTTATCAAAGAAACGTTCTCCTTAAAATAAAGACACCGTTATCTCAAGTAACTTTTCATTATCATACAAATTGGACAACCAAAGATTATCGGATTTTAAAAAAAAATTGTTGATCTAGATGATCGAAGATTTCTTAAGATCAATGAAGATTGCGTGAGCTTCTGCTTTTTTTCTTCAGTCGCTGAACTCATAAACTTTGTCCAGGAGCGCTTGTATTTTTCGAACAAAAAACAAATTAATGCCTCAATAATAGCATCATATTGCAAAAAAAAATTATGGGGAGATGCGCCCGGATATATGCTAATATGTTTAACAATGACGAAGTGTTGATTTTGGAACGGTGAAATATCTTTAGTTAAAAACCATCATGAATAAAAAAAATGTTTTTCTTTTCAAAAGATTTCTTTAACCTCTTTTTCATCAGTGGGTGACTTAATCCTGAAAATTTGTGTTTTGTTGGGTTCAGTAGGAAGAAGCAATGTGGCATTTCGTTAGACAAATTACAATCATTACTTGCAATTTTTTGAAAAATGCAAGGGAGCTAAATCACTACTTAAATTAAGTTTTCGTGAGTTTTTCAATTTTTGGTCAGCTGTAACTTGCATATAAATCGCGTCAGTAGCAAAACTTAGTCTTCTTGACTGGTAAGATCAAATCATAAGTCGAGTACTCCGGGTAACGGGAAATGGCGAGAGGTTTTCGATCTAATCTACAAAGTTTTTGCACCCCACACCGAGCGCCCATGGGTTTTAATTGATTTAATGGTTTTTTGAGACAAAAATAATCCGTTGTATTCCATTACAGATGTACAATTCTTTGATAGGCCAACAAGCCAAAAAGCCAACAAACCGAAAACAGAATTATCATTTCAACAAGCCGAAAATAAATATTGTTATGCAGCATTACAACAGATTGTCCTTGTTGTTACGCAATTGTTACGTAATTCTGATGTAACTTAGGTTATTCTGATGCCATTCCGGCTTCGCGGTATAGCGGTTTGTGGACATGGATGGCGTTTTGTTGATTATGCGCCGTAAAAATTAGGCCGCGAAATTGATTAGATTGCCATTAAATTCGAGTTTTTTTGAAAAAAGTTCCTTATAATCGAATATAATATATTATTTTGGAACTACTATTGATTATTTTTTTTCAACATAAATCGTTATAGTCGATTAATTGTGAAATTAAAGTCAATTATAATCCATTAGAACTGTAATCATAATCCATTTCTTAGAACTAAATTTGATTGTTTTGCAGAAATTCTGAGTCATGTCTTTTTTTTACTTATAATAAGAAAAAAAAAGGAAAATTTAAATTACGTTCAGTTGAACGTAATTGAAACTTTGTCTTTTTCGCTTATTATACTTAAAAAGACATGACTTAGAATTTCTGCAAAACAAACGAATTTAGGTCTAAGAAATGAATTATGATTGCAATTCTAATGGATTATAATGGACTTCAATTTCAAAATTAATCAATAGATGGGATACGCTATGTTTACTCCCTCCCCTCTCCCGAGCTTAGAACCTCCCAACGGCCCCTAAGTTACTAAACCTCCCTACACCCACGTAAGGGGATAAACGGAAGGACGTGGATTAAATGGGGGGGGGGAGGGTTAATCTGAAGAGTCTTAAGATTTCAACCATTGGAATCAACCCTTAAATCCCCTCACGTTCAACCATTACCACCTTGCCCGTTGAACCAATAACTCCAGCTCTTCCAAATTGAAAGTGGGTCGAATCCGATTGTGGTAAACTGCCATGAATTGAGAATCAAAAAGAAAGAAAACATTAAAAATAAAAATTATTTTAAAATTATAAAACCTGAAAAGTAAGAAACTCTTAAACAAATTACGCAGCAACACACTCAACAGGAATTGAGATAATATTAAAATCAAATTGAAAGATTTATCAATAACTTCCCAACCGAAATCCCTTATAATTGATTATTTCACATTTTTATGGATGCTAACTATAAAATGACACTATAATGGATTATGATTCATGGGCTCTCAGTGCAGGCAAAAACGGCCTTCAATCTGACCAAACCCATTGAAAGCATTAGTAAATAAATACTAGAGGAAAGCACTCAATGTTATATATTATATAGTCCACGACGCATGGAATCTATGACCATCGTATACCTAGCATTTTTGTGTCAACACTGTCATAATTTTTAAAGGTTGAAAGGTTTCTCAGTGATGCCAAACTACCTAAAGCCGTGTTGCGTTCTGCCTCAAAGCGAAATATATTTTCAAACACTTCAAAATACCTTTCATCATTTTTTTAGCTTTCCCAGCTCATGTCAACTGTCGTTTTCTTATGCAAAACTGTATATTTTAGCGCCTTTCTTATGCAAAAAAGTGTTTTCTTTTTCATGTAATTTATGCGGATCTGTTATAAAATTTCTTTCATTCTCAAAAAAATATCACCCCTTATAAAGAAACAGAATTAAAACTAATCAAAAAGATAACACCTAAGCCACGAATTGGTTAAAGCTGGTTAAATTAAATTAATTGACCCCAACCTTAAATTAATTGAACCCTCAGATTTTTCCGACAAACAAACTAAAAATATTTGTTTCTCTTTGGGCAAAAAATACAAAAAAATCCAAAAATACCTTAAAAATGCCATGGATTAGTGTGAAACTCTATATAACAATAACTTTTATATAGCAGCAGAATTGCAGTAAATTTTACTGGGCGTTGTTAATCACTGAATTACATCCGATTTAACCCTTTTCAGATCCGAGTCAAGAATACCCTCCGAGTATCATAAAATTAATTAAAT